TTAGACTGGCGCATGCGCAATACGGTATGCCAGTTTCTTGCGAGATGTCGTTAAAACTGGATTTTTCCAGCAAATTTCGGCACTTGTACTAATAAAATGTTGAAAATCACAGAAAAACACAATGAAACTTTGGCGAATCAAAAAAATACTTGGCGTGCATATGTATGGCATTGAGAATTACATTTGCACCAACTTTGAAAAAAATTGAACAGAGCATATCAAAGTTACAAGAGGTAAAAGACGGACGGACAGAACCCAATCTATAAGCCTTCAGCAGACTTCGTCTGCGAAGGCTAAAAATATGACTTCAAAAAGGCAAATAGGATGTATGATAAAACCAAAAGAATATGGAAAATTGTGGTGGAAAACTTAATTCAAGTGGATGAATACCAATGAGACTGTCAACAAGCAGATCGATATATAGAGAAACGATTGAAAATAAATAAAATATTGAAAACATAAACTTAAAATAAATTTTCAACATTTGGGGGGGGGGGACAATTTTTTAAAGTTACCTGCCCTGTTGTTTGGTAAACCATTTTGACAAATTTCAAACACTTACCATTTTCTGTATCTGACTGTAAAACAGGTTTAGTAAATGTTAATAATATATCCACAATGAGTAGTTGTATAGTAGAATGGTCAGTACTCAAAATATTACTAGTAGGTGAGCACACCACAGTATGCACAGTCAGCAAAGCACATATAAGTCGCATATCCTTGAACTGAAAAAAATGATAAGAATCAACAGTCAAGCTGTAATTGTAATATATTTTACAACATAAAATGGGAATATAAATATACAAGTGAGTGATTATGTGAATGATTGAGACAGTGAGCGATTCAGTGAATGATTGAGACAGTGAGCGATTCAGTGAATGATTGAGACAGTGAGTGATTCAGTGAATGATTGAGACAGTGAGTGATTCAGTGAATGATTGAGACAGTGAGTGATTCAGTGAATGATTGAGACAGTGAGTGATTAAGTGAATGATTGAGACAGTGAGTGATTCAGTGAATGATTGAGACAGTGAGTGATTAAGTGAATGATTGAGACAGTGAGTGATTCAGTGAATGATTGAGACTGAGTGATTCAGTGAATGATTGAGACAGTGAGTGATTCAGTGAATGATTGAGACAGTGAGTGATTCAGTGAATGATTGAGAAAATGAGTGATTCAGTGAATGATTGAGACAGTGAGTGATTCAGTGAATGATTGAGACAGTGAGTGATTCAGTGAATGATCGAGACAGTGAGTGATTCAGTGAATGATTGAGACAGTGATTCAGTGAATGATTGAGAAAATGAGTGATTCAGTGAATGATTGAGACAGTGAGCATGTCGAAGTATGGTTAATGAGTTTATATAGTAAGTGAGAATGCCATTAAATGAGTTATTGAGCAAGACAAAATGAGTGTTCAATTAGTAAATCAGTAAAGAATTTGAGTGACTCAATATGCAATAGACAAGTCATCTTAAGTAAGTACAGTCAAGTCAAATAAAGTTAGTAGTAGTTTGTGTGTACATCAAAGTTGTCAAGAATAAGTTATTGAAAGAAGAAAGCACACACTCTTTAATAGTTAGAATATGAATGAATGAGTCAGAATTGTGAACTTACTTGGGTTAATCCTGTGTTCAGAAGTTCAGATAACATTCTTTTGATCAATATCAACAACGGTGTGATCATACATTCTATTATATGATTAACACTACTTGGAAGCGGAAAACCTTGTTGCCATGGCCGCAGTGTAAAATCTCCAAGTTTCTGTAATTAAGAAATGAATGAAAATTTAACTGTTTGATTGTGGTAAACTAAACATATTTGTAATCAATTCGAAATGGTGTTTCCTAGAAAATCTTGAATTATTCTTGCCTATTGTTCAGATTGTTCTTATTTGATCAAACCATCAATTGGCAAACATTTTCACCATTGTCAATTGTTAAATGTATTTTCAAATGTATATATATCATAAGCAATCTTATAATAGTTGTTCTATGCTCCGGATGTATGCAAAGTATTCTTGAAAATAGAGGATTCAAAGCCATGTAGCAAAGAAATTGAGACAAATTCTGTATGTTATTATGACATCCAGCTTACCTTAAGTACTAAGATGAATACTTCCATAGCATTTGCTGAAAACAGCTGAATAGTGGCAAGATTATACTGAAGATCTTTTTGATGTACTATTGATAAAAAAAAAATACGTTTAAATTGTTATTATTCTGATTCAGGGGCCTGATTTGAATTATTCTGATTCATTCTGATTTGTTTAATTCAAATTATAATTATTCTGATTCAGAGGCCTGATTTGAAGCACAGTTTGTATTTTAATTTATTTACATCAGATCATTAGTAGTGAGGAAAATTTGGCCACACAAGCCTCAAATTATGAAAATAGAGAATGTTTCTGGTGACTGAGTTTTAAAGCGAGAGAGTCGTCATCTGCGTTTACAAACAAGCGAGCCTTTGCATTTTTAGCACGTGTTGTTATCATCATTTGGGACTCAATTCCCGCACGTGTGCAGCTGACGACCCTTTCGGTTTAATATAATAATAGAAGATTATCTGATATGAAACAATAGCCATCATCACACCTTACCTTCAGAATCCTCTGATTGGTGATTTGGACAGGATATGTGTTTCAATATTCTTAATGCTGTGACCATTGCTGTACCTTCATTTGCTAAATTACTAGAAATTTCACTTGTATGATTTTTTAAATATTCTACGAGAGGTTCAATACTAGTTATATCAAATTTCAGCCCCTGAATGGGAGAAATCCATTTAGATAATTCTGAAACCAAGAGAAAGAACAGTTTTATACATTATGACATGATGACTCAAATTAATTACAAGCCGCTAAACACAAACATACATACATGTGTTGGAACTTTTTGGAGCATTGGTCAGCAATATGTTGCAGTAGCTGAATCAAAATTTTACACTACTAATCTTTTTTGCACATGTATACAATGCATCATGGGAGATACATTCCTTTTGTATTGAATGGAATGCTACTATTGTACTGGAAAATAACTAAATTATATGTAGATTTTTTGAAGGTCTAACATTAGCATTTGTATCAATATTATTACATAGTATATGACTAATTTATCCCATGTCACAAACAAAAATTTTGAGATATGAAGAAATAATATTATAGCAAACATGTGTAAAAGTTTTAACCATTGCCTACTGGTGACCTCAATTCTTTCCCCATTTTCAGAATCCTGATGGCATGAGCCCATAATAATAAATGTACGAGTGAACAAAACTTTCTTCACTACAACATTGTCTGTACACAGCTTAGTAAGACACCCATTCCATGTCTTACTACACTGCATCTCTCTTGCCAATAAACTATCTTGCTAAATTAAAGAAAATTGTCCTAGTGCTGGGCATTATCTACATAATGCCTGCGAACAGGGCATTATACACACAAGTCACAGAATTCTAACTGTCGCTTTTGGATCACCAAGATTCTCTCATTCACTGCTGTTTTACTCACTAAGCCTGAATATGCTAAAACTAAATCAAAGAAAGCTTAGAAAGAACTCCCGTGTGCTGGGAGTATTGAAACACATTAAAAATTAATTCAAAATTACTTGTACATGAGATATTGATGGAAAAGCTGAAAACTAATTATGTAAATCAGGTAACTAATATGAACAGAACAGAACAAAAAAATTATGAATTATTATGCTAATTAGAGAATTAATATGAACAAATTTTAACCCAAAATTAATCAGGCCTGTCTATTGTCCTAGAGCATTTATGTACCAAATTTTATTCAAATGTGATGATCAGTAATTGAGATATCAGTGTTAATTAATTATATTAATTAGGTGATTAATAAGCATAAATATTTACCAAAAACTAATTGGGTTTCTGCATAGTTCTCTTTAAAAGTTTCATTAAAATCCAATTCGTGGTTCTTTATATATCAGTGGAACATTATGCAAATTAGGTAATTAATATCCAATTAAAACTAATCAGGTCTCTGCATAATCCTAGAAGATCTATGTAGCAAGTCTCATTGAAATATGATGATTACTACTTGAAATATCAAAAGCTGAAAATGTATTAATTATGCAAATTAGGTAATTAATAGGTACTCATATTACCCTAAAAACTATCATGGCCTGTGCAGTGTCCTATGACACCTATGTACCAAGTGTCATTGAAATGTGATGATTACTACTTGAAATATCAAAAGCTGAAAATTAATTAATTATGCAAATTAGCTAATTAATATATATTGATATTACCCTAAAAACTATCAGGTCTGTGCAGTGTCCCATGACATCTATGTACCAAATTTCATTGAAATGTGATGATTACTACTTCAAATATCAAAAGCTGAAAATTAATTAATTATGCAAATTAGGTAATTAATATGTACTCATATTACCTTAAAAACTATCAGGTA